CTAGAAGATGTTAAAACTAACAGATGTTTATTGATCACCTATTTAATGCACGGGCCAGCAGGACTTGTCACAGCAGAAAAAGCCAGGATGGAGAGGCAGAGGACCAGGCTGCGCAAATCCTTCAGCTCTGAGCTGTATTTTTCTTGTCCTTTACAGCACTATGATTATGACTAGATGAGGAAAAAACTTAGGCATGAGCTCTATTCACAGGGAGCAAAAAAATAAATGACTCTAACAAATAAAAATAAATGTAAGATGAAGCACTAATCTTTCAGCCATTTTAATATTGCTGGGAAGAAAAATTATCCATATAAAAAGTTGGGTAGGTAATTCTATTGGTCCTTGATAGACAGTATTTGTTTTTTTGTTTTTTGTTTTTTTTTTTTTTGAGACAGAGTCTCACTGTGTTGTCCGGGCTAGAGTGCCGTGGCGTCAGCCTAGCTCACAGCAACCTCAAACTCCTGGGCTCAAGCGATCCTTCTGCCTCAGCCTCCCGAGTAGCTGGGACTACAGGCATGTGCCACCATGCCTGGCTAATTTTTTCTATATATTTTTAGTTGTCTGATTAATTTCTTTGTATTTTTAGTGGAGACGGGGGTCTCGCTCTTGCTCAGGCTGGTTTCGAACTCCTGAGCTCAAACAATCCGCCCGCCTCGGCCTCCCAGAGAGCTAGGATTACAGGCGTGAGCCACCACGCCCGGCCTGATAGACAGTATTTGTATATAATCATCATAATTTAGTCTTTAACAAATCTTGTATCTTCATTTTCTATTATTTACATGTAAATGGACATTGCTCATTAAGAACAGATGAAAAACCAATGTTTACTAAAGAAGTGATAAATTATATAATATATAATACGATTGAAAGTCAAAGTTGGACCCCCCTCCCCGATGTCTGGGTGTGTGTGATAGTAGATGCGTTATTCCCATAGAGACAAATCCCTGCTCATGGCGGTACAGGGCGGCAGACCGGAAGGCTGGAGCCCTTGGGTTTAATGTGGGCTCTTTTGCTAACCGACACGATAATTTGGGGACAAATAACTTAGATTCTGAGCTTTATTTTGTCTACAAAAGTGCACTAAAAGTAACCTTAATTAAAAATTATCCAAAAATACAAGAACACAAAGAAAAACACATTCTAGCAGCTCATCCTCTCTATGGTCTAGGTAAACTGTACCATCTCCACCCGAAGGAGAGAAATGATCAAAATCAAAACGCTCCTCTACTGATCTCTCCACACATGGTCTTAGTTAAAATGAGAGTAAACACTTCATTACTGTGCACCTGGATTTTGTCCGATTCTCCTAAGAAATGCACGTAAGTGGGGTCTTGACTGGCTTTTCTCTTGATGATATAGAAGCTGTTGCATACACAGCCAAATCACATTCCTGCCCATTGCTGAAAGGAACGACCTTCAATGAGCAGGTTATCAAATTCACTCGTGACCGTTTATCGAATGTCTACTGTGTGCCAGACACACTATTAAGCCTGGGGAATCAGAGAAATGCTGTTCTCCAACACCTCACAGTGCAGCAGAGTAATATATAGACTGAAATGTTAGAAGATACCGTGGGACCGTTTCGCTAACGGTGTAAGTGAAGAGCCATGTCAGAAATCCGGGAGGGATAATACCTCTCCTGGGAGTCTGGGGAGACTGTGGCGGGGGTGATATTTGAGCTGGGTCTTGAAGGATGAGCAGAAATCTGCCAGGTGAAGCAGGGGCGGGACATTTACAGGCAGAGGGAAGAGCGTGGCTCATCCAGATGCCCGGCACATCTGAGAAATGGTGGAAAAGGTGGTGCAGGCACAGCCCAGCGTTTGTGGGCGAGAGGGAGATGTTGGGGCCAGCACATGGGGAGCCTTGCTGGGCCACACACGATTGGTAATCGCCCCTGCTGGCAATGGGGGGACAGGGTGTCACGCGTGGAGATCCGTGTCCACTGTGTTGTGTTTTTAAGATAACTTGAAGTCGTACGGAGCGCGTGATGTGGGAGCAGAGCAAGGAGAAACAAGTCAGGGAGACCCGACAGGGGCCGGCAGTGGGAATGGCTGACTCCGAGAAGCATCTCTGAAAGAGAATAAGTAACATTGGTAACTGTGGAGGCTGCGGCAGAGGGAGAAAGAGTATGGCTTGAAGCTGCTCAGTACAGGAGGGATTGGAAGGCGGGTGGTACTGCTGCCCGAGATGAGAGGACGCAGGCGAACAGGAGCGGTTCTCTACTCCAGTGCACCCCTGACTAAAGAGTGACCCTAAACTTTGGCACAGGTGCTCAGTGACCGAACAAGACAGGCTCTCGGTGGCCGAGATAGTGGATGAAGCCTACGCCAGAATGAGACCCCTGATCTCTTAATTTCCATGCTTTTGGTTCAAGGCATCATTCAGTTCAACACCATTTAAAAGCTATGATCTGGAAATGTCTGATCTACTGCAAATCCCTCATTGGTTACACTGGCTGTCATTCCAGTTATATGTAGGTGAAGGGGGGGAACTGTGGAGCCAGGCTGCCTGGGCCAGTGACCCCAGGCAAGCCACTCAAACCTCTCCGTGCCTCAGTTTCCTCATCTGCACAATAAGGATAAAAATTCTTCATTGTCGTAGGAATGAAATGAGTTACCATATGTCAAAGGGAACCTGGCATATGGTCTAAGCACCTTAAGTACCTCAGAAGTGTTTACTGTCATTATTAACAAGTAATGGAATACTCAACTAAAAGTGGTACAAATATTTATTATCACAGAACAAGATCGAAGTTCGCAGTTGCAGGGCTGGTCCTGCTGCTTAACTGGTCTCTTCCCCTGTCCCACGCCACGCTCAGTGTGTTAGTGACTTCTCCCCTCCTGGTGGCAGGGAGGCTTCAGCAGCTCCAAGAATCAAGTCCTCCCGCGGCCAGCATCCCAACGTGCAGGAATGGGATGGGGGCAGAAGGGGCTTTGCCCCTGTGCAGCCCTCTCAAAACAAGCAGGAAAATCTTTTCTAGAGGGCCCCAGTAGGTTTCCTTTCAGCTAAAACTGGGTCACAAGCCCATCCCTGAATCTGGCACTTCCAATCTGTAACAAATGAGGCAGAAGTGGGGCGGGGCTGGCTGCCGGACAGAACACTGGTGGTGCCCACCGCAGTCTGGGAGCCGAAGGGTTCCGGGGGCGCCTGGCTCAGGCCGGGCGTAATTGAGACACAGGAATGCACCAGTACTCATCTGGAGTGAATGAGCCACAGGCTTCATCCTTCAAAAGTCATCAGGATTTTTAAGAGTAGCTTTGAACCCAGATAAGTATCTTGTTGGTAAAATATGGAGAAAGGATACTTTTGAGCAGGAGGGTTTTCCCAGTCTTCTCACCTGTTTCAAGTGCCACCTTCCCTTCCCACAAACCAAAGGAGGGGACTCAGCTTGTCCAAAAGGTCACCTACAGGACAGTGAAGCAGGTGCCTCCCCGCTGTGCCAGGGCAAGAGGAGGGCTGCTCGTTCCGCCTTAGAACCTGCACCCCACGGCCTCACTCATCTGGGCTCCCCGTCACGACAAAGACTGCGGCAACACAGACTCACGAGAGAACCAGGGAAAAGCCTGTATAAACGACCACAGAAAGCCTTGTTTCCACTCTCCAAATCCATTAACAAGGAGAGGAGAAATTTTTAAATTCCAAGGCACTTGGTCACTAATCTGATTCTAGCCTACATGTGGATATTCAATAAATACTTGTTAAATTAAATTGACTCAAGTTTTTATTTCTTCAACCTACTTAAAGCTTATGTAAACCCCTCGGAGATTTGTGTCAAGCTGTTAAGTTGGAAAATATATGAAAAGTAGTATTTTCAGTGTACCAGTTTCCTCTTAACGTGCTTTATGAGCTTAGCGTAAACCAGGAGGAAGGGGGCGGGGTACCAGGAGGGTGGATGGGAAGGAGAGGTGAGGAGGTGAGAGAGGAGGAGGAGGAGGAAGATGTAAGGGAGGAGGAGGGGGAGAGGTGAAGGGGAGGAGGAGGTGAGGGGGGAGGAGGAGAAAAGCCTGTTTCTGTAATTTCCTACATTTGTCTTCGTTGCTAAACTTATTAACCAGCTACTGCCCTCTAGTGCCCACTGCATAAAATTCGCATCTGAATTCCATATTTATCTTTAAAAACTCTGGTGAGGCCTGGAAGGAACCAAACTTCTTGTTTTGCAGATAAGTGAACTGAGGTCCACAGAGATGAGGTGTGAAGCTGACCCAGGCAGACTTCTGGACTCTTCGTTACCCTGCCGGTAACTCGTCTGGAAACTGTCTTTATTCAAAGCCTGTCTCAGAAATTTCAATAACTAACCAATAAAAATTACAGCGTACTCATCTAAGTGCTGTATGTCATTTCCAATGTTATTCCAAACAAAGCTAAAACTGACTGCTGTTCAAGTTTAGATAAGGATTTATAAGGACTATTGATGCGTTTTTAACTTAGTACAAGTTTAGAAAATGTCTATAATGTTTAAAAAATAAAATTTAACTAGAACAGCGCCAAAGTGGATTTGCCACTTATCAGAACTGACTTATCACTGCCTCCATGTAGCCTAATATTCGGCTAGAATTCTCCCAAAGGAACCTCTTCGCTCACAGATGGGGAAAGGGGGGGTCTGCCATTTTAACTTGGAACACATATTTTCATCATTTAATCATTTTGCTGGTGGAAATAAATTGAAAGTTGTCCAGCTGGAGGAGCCACTTTCGAGAACATTACTGAGTAACAAAAGATTTATTCAAATCTTTAATTGCAAGAAAATACATCTGGAATAAGTTTTACTGGAATTCATATAAAAAGAAAAGGGAATCCATTAGAACTAATATCATAAACAGTTGATTTTATATGGAACCAAAAATATTAATGAATTGGAACCTAGATGTCCTAGCCTCTTTTCCTTGCATGAAGACAGCCAAATTTTCAGATTTATATGGCAATTGTACTTTATTACTTTAGGTAGAGCTTTGTTTTCAGCTAATATTTTAGGGACGGATCATCTAAATTGCCTAATTTGGTTCCTTTCCCTTGGCCTCAAAACACAAACACAAAGAAAGTAGAAGGGGGCATATTTGTTTTCAAAATACAACCTCCTGCTAAGATTAGCAAGTCAACAGAAACTCACTGCACTTGGCTTCCATTACAGTTACTAAATGAATTAAGAGACACTGAGTTTCATACTTAGAGGTCAACGTAGATCCCATTGATCAAATAATCAAGTCTCGAGTAACGTTTCCTGCGGAGGGATTCTGAGAGCATTCTACCCAAGAGGACAAGACCTATCACCAGGAACAGAACACCAAAGACCAGGGTCCCAATGAGAAGCCACTTTTCAAATGGAAGCTCACACTGGTTTGTGGGGACACTGCTCAGTGAGGAACTGCCCGGACTGGCCTTCCCATCTTCCCAGGAAGCAGTATGATTCGTAGCAGAAGACTCCACATTTGACAAAGAAAGTGTAGCAGGGTTATGTACACCCTCTGTGCTCAGAGTTAGGTTGGAGATCTCTCTAAAGGGGACTGTTTCTGGGGTGCCTTTCAAGGCCACAGGAGCCTGAGAGATGGTAGTCGGGACTGCCGTCGTAGCCATGGCTTGAGGTGTAACCACAGCCAGAGTGAAAACTGCAGAAATGAGAGCCGAGGGACCCTGAGCAGTGACAGTGGTTACGGGGGGAGCTGTGGTGGCCAGCGGCGGCCGAGGAGTCCCAGAAGGTATCACCGAAGCATTGGTGGGGGCAGGAACTGCAGGCTCCAGAGGAGCCCAGGTGGGTAGAGAAATGACAGCCACTGTCGTTGGCGTGGCAGCCACGTTTTTAGGCAGCAGAGGAGCTATTTCTTTTCCTGAGGAAAACTGTGAACTCTGAGAATGGGTTTTTTCTTCATAAACAGGGATCTGGGGACTTGCTTGGTCAATCTTGGATGCTTTCTCCAAGTGATCTGAGGATCCAAACGTCTGAGAAACAGCATCTCCCCGTGAGTCGTCGGCGGGTTTTGAATATCCCAGCAGAGGAGGCGGCGGTGGGGCAGTGACGGCTTGTGGAGACCGGCCACGTGAGAGAGAACCTTCTCGGGCTAACGCCTGGCTTGGCGAGTCAGTTCTGGCCAAAGGTGGAATATCTAGAAATGAATAGGAAATAAAAGGAAGACTTATTCCATGCTAAGGCACGTTAAAAAATACAACCTATCACCTTGTTCGGTAGGTCCCCAAACTGTTGATACTTGATATTTCATTGAAACATGCACAAAACGGAAAAATGCAAATTGCTCGATGAGAATCTGATAGCATCGCTTCTCCACCACATGCTGTGGGGTTTATTTCTAGCGGATGGGCAGAAGAGACACGCGTGGAGGAGGATCAGACAAATTCAGGAAAAGCTGGGAGTTGCACAGCAGAGAAGCTGAGTTGCAGGAAGAGGGGGAGGCTGGAGGGGCCGGGGCCAAGGCCAGGGCGGCAGCTGGCTGAGTGCGTGGCGTGGGCAGGAGAGGGCTGGCCGGGTCAACGCAGGTGTGAGGCACGAGCCCCCGCAGGTGACAACCGGGGCCGTGGGCAGTCACCAGGAGAGATTTCACAGCCGGGGCGCGCGGCAGGCAAGAAGGGTGTGTGGCAGCCGTGCGAAGAGGCAATGGAGTCGGAATGATCACTCTAACTGCTCTGCGGTATCTGCTGCTTGGCTAACCCTTTCGCTTAGACGGGAACTGCAGAGAACACAAGGGAAGCAGCAGAGGAATGCCCTGGCGTTTATCGCTTCCCTCTCTCGCTCCTTGTCCCTTTTCCGCCCCAGCTCGCCTCCATGCCAGTCGCCAACCTAGACCTCACTCTCCTCTCGCCCAACAAGCATCCGGAGGCAACTTGGATTTGTAACATCTGGCGACTACTCTCTCGGCCTCACACCTCTAAGAGGTCCCTTAGAACAGTCACTGACTAATCCATTCAGGACAGGGGTCAGCAAACTATGGCCTGGTGGAAAAATCTGGCCTGCCACCTGTCCTTGCAAGGATAGCAAGCTGAGAATGGTTTCTACATTTTTAAATGGGTGAAAAAAAAAA